TGCAGAAACCCACAGCAGGGCTGCGCCGCAGAGTGAGACCGAGGAGTGGATAGCAGCCGCCACATCATCTTGGACCTGAAGTCAACCAGGAGGCTTTGCAAACGAGTGTGCGCGGCGATGAGGCGAGAACGGCATTCTGAAAACCATTCGCTCTCCATCTCTGCAGTCGTGGGACATGGCGAGCTTCTTGCTCATGTTCAGTGGGGACATCTGGCCTCACGCCTGGTCCGCCCTGATGACACGTCTTGGGTTTCGATGATGGTGATGATGATGATGATGATGATGATGATGATGATGATGATGCTGATGATGCTGATGATGGCGATGATGGTGATGATGATGCTGGTGATGATGCTGCTGATGATGATCGTGATGATGATGAGGAGTATGATGCTTATGTTGCTGATGCTGCTGCTGATGTTGCTGCTGATGCAGCTGCTGCTGCTGCTGATGCTGCTGCTGCTACTGATGCTGATGATGCTGTTGATGATGATGACGATGACGATGATGACGATGACGATGCTGATGACGATTCTGATGATGCTGACGATGCTGATGCTGATGCTGATGCTGCTGCTGATGCTGCTGATGCTGATGATGCCGCGGATGCTGCTGCTGATGATGATGCTGATGCTGATGACGATGATCATGCTGCTGCTGACGCTGCTGCTGCTGCTGAAGATCATTCTGAGTATGCTGATGCTGGTGCTGGTGCTGATGCTGCTGATGATGGTGATGTTGATGACGCTGATGCTGATGCTGATGCTTCTGCTCTTCTGCTGCTGATGCTGACGATGATAATGAATATGATGATGCTGATGTTGATGATGATGCTGCTGCTGATGATGATGCTGATGACTATGATGCTGCTGATTGTGCTGCTGATGACTGATGAGGATCATTCTGATTTTGCTGATGCTGGTGATGATGCTGCAGCTGATGCTGATGCTGCTGATGATGGTGATGTTGATGGCGCTGATGCTGATGCTGATGCTGATGCTTCTGCTCTGCTGCTGATGCTGACGATGATGCTGATCATGGTGATGATGATGCTGATGCTGATGCTGATGCTGATGATGCTGCTGCTGACGATGATGCTGTTGATGATGCTGCTGATGACTATGATGCTGTTGAGTATGCTGACGCTGATGACGATGATGCTTCTGCTGCTGCTGACGCTGCTGATGATGCTGCTTCTGATGACGACCATGTTGTTGACGATGTTGATGATGCTGATGCTGATGCTGATGATGATGCTGGCGATGCTGATGCTGATGGTGATGATGAGGACTATGATGATGATACTGATGATGCTGATGATGATGACGATGATGATGATGCTGCTGATGATTCGGATGATGATGATGCTGATGATGCTGATGGTGGTGAGGCTGCTGCTGCTGATGATGATGATGCTGACGATTCTGCTGCTGCTGCTGATGCTGATGCTGATGCTGATGATGCTGCTGCTGCTGATGCTGCTGCTGATGATGCTGCTGATGATGACGATGATGATGATATGATGTTGCGGCTGCTGCTGATGATGGTGATGCTGCTGCTGCTGCTGATGATGAATAACCCCATGCCGCAGAGAATACGCACACAGGGACAATAAAATTCGGGATCACGGGGGGATAATAAGAGTTGCCCACCAGAGGCCAGCATAAAGAGATTATCAAGAGGCGCGAAAGCCGAGGATACCTTGAGACATCCTTGGCTTTTGGTCCTCTCTGAAGCATCCTCAACAATGGTTTGTCTCGCTTGAGACATCCTCGACACATCTCTCGTTTCGCTTGAGACATCCTCGAAATAATTGTTTGCTTCGCTTGAGAGTTCCTAGACAAATCTCTCGTTTCGCTGGAGACCTCATCGACTTCGCCTGATACATCGTCAAATAATTCTTTGTTTTGCTGGAGACATCCTCGAAATAATTGTTGGCTTCGCTTGAGACATCCTCGTCAGCGTGCTCATTTCGCTTCAGACATCCTTGAAATAATTGCTTGTTTCGCTTGAATCATCCTCGACAAATCTCTCGTTTCGCTTGGGACACCCTCGAAATAAATGTCTGTTTCGCCTGAGACGCACAAATAGAGAGAGAGAGAGAGACGCACAAAGAGAGACACAGACAAAGCGAAAGAGAAACGAGAGGAGAGGAAGATGAGAAGGAGGAAAACAAAGAAACATCCACTGGAAATTGAAATTTTCATCTGCTCGTGTAGGGAGCTCATATGCCTCGTTTTCCCAGGATAATCAGCCACAGCGATAAACAAGTTCAGGGGGGCACGGAGAGAAGGAGAAAGGCTGAGAGATATAAAGAAAGAGAACTATCAAGAACGAGACAGAGAGAGAGAGAGAGAGAGACAACGAGAGACAGCGACAAAGAGAGAGAGAGAGAGAGGGGAGGAAGATGAAACGGATGAAAGAAACGTCCAAAGTTCAAAACCTATTAGATTTTATGTGTAAACGCTTAATGGAAATTAAACTTTTCATATGCTCGTGTAGGGTAGTTCATGTGCCTCGTTTTCCCAGGATAATCAACCACAGCGATAAACAAGTTCAGGGCGCCAGGGGGAGGAGGAGAAAGAGACAGAGAGAAGGAAGAGGAGGAAGAGGAGGAGGAGGAAGAGGAGGAGGAGGAAGAGCAGGAAGAGGAGAGAAGGGAGGCTGCCTCCCAAAATTATTGGTTTCGCTTGAGATATCCTGGGAAAAGTGTTCGCTTCGCTGGATGTTGCGATCTCAACATAAGAAGGACGTAACCTCGATGGCGAACTTTTCACAGTGATAATGAAATTCGGCCTCCGCGCTCTCCGCCTACAGTTGAAACCCTTCTAGGCCGACGATAATCAACTCAAATCACTTAAGGGGGGGGGTCCTTTATTATCTGCGGCTTGGGGTTATGATGATACTGATGATGCTGATGGCGATGATTCTGTTGCTGATGATGCTGCTGCTGCTGCTGCTGATGATGATGATGATGATGATGATGTTGCTGCTGATGCTGAGGCTGGTAATGGTTATTATGCTGACGCTGATACTGATGAGGATGGTGATACTGATGCTGATGATCCTGATGATGATACTGATGATTCTGATGCTGATGATGCTGCTGATGATGACGATGCTGCTGCTGATGGTGATGATGCTGATGATGCTGATACTGATGCTGTTGATGATGATGATGATGCTGCTGATGATGATGATGATGGTGATGATGAGTATTATAATGCTGATGACGATGCTGCTGATTATGATGATGCTGCTGATGATGATGATGATGCTGATGATGGCGACGATGATGAGAATGATGGGTGATGATGATGACGATGATGATGATGCTGATTCTGATGCTGCTGATGATGATGAGGAGGAGGAGGAAGAGGAGGAGGAGGAGGAGCATGAACAGGATAAATATGAGGAGGTGGATCAGACGGAGGAGGAGGATGATAATAACCAGGAGGAGGAAGAGGAGGAGGAGGAGGAGGAGGAGGATGGGGGATGATGATGATGATGATGATGCTGATGATGATGATGATGATGATGATGATGATGATGATGATGATGATGATGATGATGATGCTGATGCTGCTGATGATGATGATGATGATGATGATGATGATGATGATGATGATGATGATGATGATGATGATGATGATGATGATGATGATGATGATGATGATGATGATGATGATGATGATGATGATGATGATGATGATGATGATGATGATGATGATGATGATGATGATGATGATGATGATGAGGAGGAGGAGGAGGAGGAGGAGGAGGAGGAGGAGCAAGAGGAAAATGAGGGAGGAGGATGATGATGAGGATGCGGATGATGATGGAGGAGGAGTGGTACGAGGATGAGGAGGAGGAACAGGAGGTGGTGGAGGAGGAGGAGGAGGAGGAGGAGGAGGAGGAGGATGAGGAGGAGGAGGAGGAGGAGGACCAGCAACAGGATGACGACGAGGCTCTCTGTAACCTGTCTGAAGCTACCTGACTCCACGTGAAGCGTCCCGATTTCGCTTCCCCCTCCTCCTTGTCCATCCTCCCTCTTCCAGAGCGGGGCGGAGGAGCTCCGAACAGGAAGATCGGCGTCTACGGCTTTTCCGAATGGTGGCTATCACGGTGTCACATTCTTGAGGCCGCAGCCTCCGAGCCATGATCTGATGGGTACGGGCGGAGCGGGCGCGACTCCAGCGTTCGCGTCGCTTCGCTCCCTCCTCCCTCCCCCCATCATCGGCGGATGTCTGTTTCCCCGTTGGGTTTAGGCCCCCTTTGGGTGGGAGGCCGCCTTGGGCGTTTGGCACCCACCCGCTCGAGTGAGCGGGTTGGCTACCTTGCGTCTGGTTCAAACTCCTTCGTTGTGGGTCGCCCCCAGTCGCTCTCGCCTCTGGCTTTTTCAGATTAGCCCCTCGCCGCCTCCGCGGCGTTTCTGGCCCCCCTTTTGGATGTGTGCGTGTGCTTTGGGCTTCGCACGCTTGCCAGGTTAGCAGACTGGGTTGGCGCAAGCCTCTTGGGTGTTCGAGCCTTCTATATCCTCACTCGCCTTCAATCTTTAGGCACTGTCCTGTCTCCGTGCGGCTGTACAAGAGATCCGGGTCTAGTGCTGTCCACCCTCCGCCGGGCAGAGTGCACTGAGCACGCCCGGCGGGAAGCCGATCGGACAGCAAGAGCCTCCCCCCATCCCTTCTCCATCCCCCCGCTCCTCCCGTCTCCTTCCTTCCCCCCTGTTTCTCAGGCGCATGTTGCCCCTCCCTCCCATGTTCAGCAGTTGGCGCAGAGTGCAGAGGCCCTCAGAGATGAAGAGGACACTCAGCCGATGATGCTTGCCATCGGAGAGAGGAGTCAAGAGGAAGAGATCGACTGCATTTTCTTGCCACCAAGTTCTAACCTGTCTGTAGAGTTCAGCTTGGTGCTGCACGTGCACACAGTGAACAATCTCCCTCCTTCTCGAGGACGAGGAGGAGGAGAAGCCCGCTGGCCCCCTGGCGGAGAGGGAGGTTTCTCATCGAGAACGGCGTCGACCTCCACTCGGAGGCTGGGGGCATCACTCGACGCCTCACGGCAAGCCGCCGCGCGAAGGAGAGGAGGAGGCGGATGATGATGATGATGATGATGATGATGATGATGATGATGATGATGATGATGATGATGATGATGATGATGATGATGATGATGATGATGATGATGATGATGATGATGATGATGATGATGATGATGATGATGATGATGATGATGATGATGATGATGATGATGATGATGATGATGATGATGATGATGATGATGATGATGATGATGATGATGATGATGATGATGATGATGATGATGATGATGATGATGATGATGATGATGATGATGATGATGATGATGATGATGATGATGATGATGATGATGATGATGATGATGATGATGATGATGATGATGATGATGATGATGATGATGATGATGATGATGATGATGATGATGATGATGATGATGATGATGATGATGATGATGATGATGATGATGATGATGATGATGATGATGATGATGATGATGATGATGATGATGATGATGATGATGATGATGATGATGATGAGGAGGAGGAGGAGGAGGAGGAGAGGAGGAGGAGGAAGTATGGAGGAGGGGGAGGAGGAGGAGGAGGAGGAGGAGGAGGAGAGGAGGAGGAAATGAAGGAGAGGAGGAGGAGGAGGAGGAGGAGGAGGAGGAGGAGGAAACGGAAAAGGAGGAGGAGGAGGAGCAGGAGGCAGGAGACAGAAGGCAGGAGGCAGGAGGCAGGAGCAGGAGCAGGGGCAGGACGAGCAGGAGGAGCTGGCTCAGACAGTTGGCCACCCCCTGGGTAGCTGCCCCGTCTGAAAGGCGGCGGGGCGATCTGCCGGCCCCTGTTCACAGCGCCCCTGCGGAACAGATCCGCGAGCGTGCCAGAGCGTGGAGTGACAAGTGGAGGGTTTCTCCTAAGGGCTTAGGCGACCCGTCCTCCTCCTCCTCCTCCTCCTTCTCCTCCTCCTCTTCCTCCTCCTCCTCCTCCTCCTCCTCCCTCCTCCCCCTCCTCCTCCATCTCCTCCTCCCCTTCCCCCTTCTCCTCCACCTCCTCCTCCTCCTCTTCCTCGGGTCGCCTACGGCCCCGGGGGAACCGTGTCAGAGTGGAGGGACAAGGGAGGGAAGAGGAGGAAGTGGCGGAGGCGGTGGAGGCGGAGGGCGAAAGAAATGGGAGCGAGTGAACTGGGGGAGAGCAGGACTGTGAGAGCAGGTGGAGGCGCAGGGCCAGTGTAAACATGAGGCCCATCATCGATGTTGCAGGAAACCATTCCTCCAAGTTCCCTCTTCATAGGTCCCTACGCGAATTGGATTCCACTGCTGGAAATGCCCCGTTGGGAGACAACTGTCTCATAATCCTATGTTAGCCAGCGTGGATCCGAAACAGTCGGTTCTTGCAATTTATGCGGTGCAATGTATGTGTTTTGCACCGCGCTTGACCACCTCCACTGCTCTTGCAAACATCCCACCCACCCACCCGCAACTTGGTTTGCAGAACCCATGCGGCGGCGATTGTGATGAGTGCTTGGCGTTGGCTGGCGCCTCTCTGCGGTCGCGCCGACCCGAGCACGCGCGCGCAGCGGCCAGCTAGTTTGGGGCGACCGACGCGGCCGCGGTGGCGCCGACCGCTGGGCACATCCAAGACAATTATCACCCAACATACATCGAAATGCTTGGTTTCGTCTCGTCGGTGCAGCAGCTGCCGAGGTTTTGCTGTCCCCTCCCGATTTCCCGGGGGCGCCTGCTGCCCAGGGGCATCATGCCGCAACGTCATGCCTCCGTCGAGGTATCGGCCGTGGTCCCGACGCCACTTCTCCCAGACTCGGAGCTGCGCTTCGGCTTGTGATGGCTGCTTGTGAGGCCCAGTTCGTGCCTCGCGAGGGGCCTGCGGCTGGCGTTGGTTACGGCCGCCAGACATGGGGACCTGGAAATGGTGCAGCGCCTGGCCGTGAACGTGGCTGCCGACTCGAGGGCTGCGGGAGCGGTTCTGCGGTTCGTTTTCGGCACGTTTGTTCGCGCGCTCTTTGCATATCCATTCGTTGTTCGTTCGGTCGCCGCCGTTGCCGCCCTCGCTATCGCTTCCGCTGTTGTCGCTTCTCCTGCTGCTGCCGTTCTTCTTATCGTTGTGGTTCTCGTTGCCGCTGCTGTTTTTGCAATTGCCTTTGCTGCTGCTGCTGCTGCTGCTGCTTTTGAGCTGTTGCTCCATGTGGTCTTTTTCGCGGGGGCCCTCGTCGCCAAGGCCATCTGCAGCTTGAGCAAAGGGAAGGAGGGATATGATGGAGAAGACGAAAGGAGCAAACTGTGATGGACAATTGAAGACCGGTCGGACCCGTCGCATTTTGCACGAGACCGTGGCCATGGGAGGGAGGTACTTTGATTTTCGGCCCTCTGAGCGACCAGTTGATGTCGGAGGTGAGGGGGTGAGATCGAAGTGGAACGGAGAGCCCCCCTACCGGGAAATCGATTTCGGTTTCGTGTTCGTGCGTGCCGTGCGTGCGGGCGAGGCGAAGCTGCGTGGGCGGGCGAGAAAAAGTCTCCTGTGGCTGAGGCGCGGCCGGACCAAATGACTCCCTTCCGGGCGGCTGGTGGCCCGCGGTGTCCCGCCGGTGTCCCGCGAAAGTCCCGTGTGGCTGAGGCGCGGCCAGACCAAATGAGTCCCTTCCGGGCGGCCGGTGGCCCGCGGTGTCCCGCCGGTGTCCCGCGGTGTCCCGCGGTGTCCCGCGGTGCCCCGCGGTGTCCCGCCGGTGTCCCGCGGTGTCCCGCGATGATGATGATGATGATGATGATGATGATGATGATGATGATGATGATGATGATGATGATGATGATGATGATGATGATGATGATCGTGATGCTGATGATGATGATGCTGCTGATTATGATGACGATGATGATGATGATGGTGATGCTGATGATGATGGTGATGAAGAGGACGATGATGATGACATGATGATGATGATGTCCCGATGATGATGATGATGATGATGATGATGATGATGATGATGATGATGATGATGATGTCGATGATGATGATGACGATGATGATGATGCTGATGGTGTCCCGATGTTGAGGGTGATGATGATCATGATGATTATGTTGATGACCATGATGATGACGATGATGGTGTCCCGATGATGATGAGTATGATGATGTTGATGTTGATGATGCTGAATATGATTGTGTCCCAATGATGATGATGTTGATGATGATGAGGTTGATGATGATTATGGCGTCCCGATGATGATTATTGTGATGGTGATGATGATGATGATGTTGATGATGATGGCGTCCCGATGGTGATGATGATGATGATGATGATGTTGATGCTGATGTTGGTGATGATGATGGTGCCCCGATGATGACGATGATGATGATGCTGATGATGATGATGATGATGATGATGTCGATGATGCTGATGATGATGATGATGATGCTGATGTCGATGATGAGGATGAGATGATGATGATGGTGCCCCGATGATCATGATGATGATAACGATGGTGATCATGATGGTGTCCCGATGCTGATGCTGCTGATGATGATGACGATGACTGTGTCCCGATGGTGATGATGATGCTGATGTTGATGATGATGATTGTGGTGTGGTGATGGTGATGATGATGATGATGATGATGATGATGATGATGGTGGTGTCCCGATGATGTTGATGACCGTGATGATGATGATGATGATGATGATGATGATGATGATGATGATGATGATGATGATGATGATGATGTTGGTGTTGATGATGAGGACTGTGTCCCGATTATGATGATGTTGGTGATGATGATGTTGATGTTGATGTTGTTGATTGATGATGATGATGACGTTGATTGTGGGAGCGGTTGTGATATCGATAGTGAGATCGATCGTGAGACCGAATGTGATATCGATTGTGAGATCGATTGTGAGATCGATTGTGAGATCGATAGTCAGATCAATTGTGAGATAGATCGAGTGAGATCGATTGTGAGATCGATCGAGGGAGATCGATCGAGCGAGACCGATACTGAGATCGATAGTGAGATCGATAGTGAGACCGATCGAGTGAGACGTTGGTTCCTCCCCCCCCCGAACCTCCTTATCACCCGAAGGGTGGTCGTATAGGTATGTTGGTGCTCCTGGGAGCGAGGGCCCATCCCCCCCTGGCAGTGCCCGTACCCAGGATTTCTTGCTTGGCCCGTGAAGACCTGAACCTGCTTGGCGGTGTCCAGCCCGTTCCGCCGGCCTGATCAGCCCGTCTGGCCCGCCCGTCAGCCCCCCACAGCCCGACATATGGACTCCAGCGATATGTTTCCACGCGTTGGTGCGTCTGCTTCGAGCCAAATGCACACAGCTTTTGTCGCTCGCCCCTGTACCAGCATGTTGAGAGTGGTTGTCAGCTTGAGATGAGCCTGTCGAGGGCACCAATCACAATACACAAGGTCATGCGTTTTGTATCGGCGTCACCCCAACATGCTAATACCATGTGTGCGTCGCCCCCCCAGGGGCGACGCGCGCACCGAGAAATCTTACAGTGTATGCGTCGTGACGGACGCTGCCTGGCCACACCGCTCGGGAACCGATATACTACAAGATGGGTGTACTATATGTTCGGGTCGGACGTGCGCCTCCAAGGAGGACATTTAGTATACATGTAACGGGGGACCAGGTTTGGGGGCCGGGGGCCGGGACCCCGACCGCAAATGTGGGGCCCGGCGCGCCGGGAGCCCTGCCGGAGCGCCAGGGGCCGTCCAAGATCGCCCGAAGAGGGTTTCGGAACGCTCGAAAACGCGCTCCGATGGCACCGGATGTCTTTCAAGACGATTCCCATGACGTCAAGAAGGCCCCCGAAGGCCCCGAAGACGCCCCAAGAGGCACCCCGAGAGAGCCCCAACTAAGCAAAAATCGCCGATTTCCTATAGGACAACTGATTTTTTGGCGTGTTCGCCTTTTGGATTTCCACCGCGTCCAAGGAGGCCCAAGAGGCACCCAAGCCGATCGAGGACGCCTCCAAGAGGGCCCCAAGACGGCCCGCGAGGGGGCCAAGACGGCCCACGAGGCGCCCAAACCGCCTAAGAACGTCCCAAGGCGGCGCCAAAGACGGTGACGAGGAACGGGAAATTCGCGCCTTTTGGCCTAAGACCCATGAGACCCCAAGAGGCTCCAAGAAGCGCCCAAGAAGCCCCAAGAGGCCCCCATGAGACCCGAAAAAACACCAAAAGAGGCCCCGAAGACGCCACAAGAGGCACCCGATAGAGCCCCAAGTAAGCCAAAATCGTCGATTTCCTATAGGACAACTGATTTTTCGGCGTGTTCGCCTTTTGGGCTTCCACTGCGTCCAAGACTGCCCAAGAGGCACCCAAGGCGGCCGAGGATGCCCCCAAGAGGGCTCCAAGACGGCCCACGAGGGGGCCAAGACGGCCCACGAGACGCCTAGACCGCCCAAGAACGCCCCCCAGGAGCCCAAGAGGCCTTTCCGGGGAGCCTCCACAGCGCCCCAGGAGGGCCCAAGACGCCTCCCAGGAGCCCCTAGAATGCGAAAGGATGGTCCAAGACGCTCCCAAGCAGTCCAAGTCAGCCTTCCGACGGCTCTCGAGGCTCCCAGGTGGCCTCCAAGAGACCCCAAGAGAGGTCCGAGAGGCGTCCCGGGACGGCCCGAAGAGGCCAAGATCGTCGAATTTCATTTATTTTTGTCATGTTTTTGGTTTCTCGCGTTGTCGAGCTTCCAATGGTCCAAGAGCGCCGAAGAGGCTCCCAAGACCGCCCCAAGACCACCCAAGAGACCCTCAGGACGGCCCCAAGACGAGCCAAGAATGCTCCACGACTGCCGAAGAGGCGCCCAGGACAGCCCCAGACCACCCCAGAACAGGCCCAAAATGGGCCCAAGAGAGGGAGCAGGAGGCTTCCAGAGACCTCCAAGAGGCCTTCAGGACTCCCCAGAGGCCCCCAACACACCCCCGATCCGTGAGAGGCCCCACAAAGACCCCGACGAGGCTCCAAGAACAGCCCAAGAGAGCTGCGAGAGCCGTCCCGAGAGAGCCCAAAGAGGGTACAATTGTTGTTTTCCTATGGTTTTTCTAATGTTTTTCGCCTTCTGATGTTTTCCCGCTTCCAACCCTCGAAGATCGAGCAAAAGAATTCCCAGAATTCCCTTTTTTTGTTTTTCAAAGTGGGACTCCGACTCGGAGATCTCACACATCCCCTGACATCTGGCCGGTACCGTGCCTCCCGGCTTCCCGGGGGGCCCCTAAGACGCCCAAGGACAGCCCAAGACGACCCCAAGGAGCCCCCAGAACGTAAAGAACGGCCCAACACGCTCCCGCGCAGCCCGAGACACCCTTCCGACGGCTCTCCAGGCCTCCAGGAGGCCTCCAGAACCCCCAGGGGGTCCGGAAGATCCCACATCCCTGAGGGGCCTGGCTAACAAAACCCGCGAGGCACAACCAAAAAACAAAGCCGAAGAGCGCCGAGGAACTGGACAAAAAATAGAAATCCCACAATCCCTTGTTGTTTTCAAGTTTGGCCCCTGGTCTACTCTTGCACACCAGACCACGATTCAGACCCTCTCACCTCCCCCCAAAGAACCAGGAAGCTGTTGAGGGCCCCAAATCGTTGAACACCTAAAGGAAATTAATGATTTCTGCGTTTCCGCACTTCCCCTTCTGTACTATTCCGAGGCTTGCGCAGGGCCTCCAAGGGAGTCCCTGGACGCAAGAAGCGACCAACATGAGATTACATGAGTTGGCCGATCAATTCTAGCTAGAACTTAAGCGCGCGCGAAGCGCGCGCGATGGTTATAGTACTAGTATGTCTCTGGTGCGTCCCCCTGTATGGGAAGGACAGGAATTCCGGGGCCCATGCATATACATCACCACCGCGGGCTGGTTGTCTATCATAGGGGTTGATCGGATTATTGTTCTGGCGGTGGGTTGCAGGGTGCGTCAAATCTCGCGGTAATGACATGTCGCTTGTGCAACGCCATATGGGTACGCTGTTGCATGTGCATAAAACAACACATTCACGTGGTGTCTATGTCGGGGTGGTGTATAACATTCCTGGGGGGTCCTTCGTTGTTATACACCACCGCCGTGCTGCCATAGGGTGCTTGGGAGCAACTATTCGCGACCGAATGCGGCCGCCATCTGCGCTCATGACCACGTGGCAAGTACTTGCGCTTGGCGGGGGCAGGCAGTGGCACCACTTCCAGGGCGGTCGCGCGCAGGATTTTTCCTTTCCTACGGCCGCCTGGTGGTGGTGTATATTTTGGGGCCCCGCAAAACTACAAGGGGGGGAACGTATAACTGCTCTGAGCACCTGTGCAGCCCCTTTTCCAGCCTTCCCAGGAGAGGCTCTGGCCCGGGCTGGCGAGCTGGGCTCCGACGAGGACAGGGCTGCTGTCGAGGGCTACCTGCGAAGCCTCGGCGCCGCTGCCGCGTCGCCGTCGCTGCCGAAGGAGGAGGAGGCGGAGGCGGAGGCGGAGGAGGAGGAGGAGGAGGAGGAGGAGGAGGAGGAGGAGGAGGAGGAGGAGGAGGAGGAGGAGGAGGAGGAGGAGCAGGAGGAGGAGGAGGAGGAGGAGGAGGAGGAGGAGGAGGAGGAGGAATGTAATCCCAAAACGCACCAACGGTGCTGCGATACATCCTCCCTCCACGTTCCCTCGCCGCGGGTCTCTGCAACACTATATTTTCATTGCGGGAAGTGTTCATTTGTTGAAGATGGCCGTTCAAGAATCTTCAGTCGTGCAAGCACACAATTCCGGGGACGTCAGCGCCACGAGTCGACGTGATTGTTGCGTTTGGACATTCCGAAATCGTGCAAGACCACCATTCCTGGGATTTCAGCATGGCGAATCAACGTAATTGATGCGACCTGGCAGTGTTAATTCGTGCCATAACATCATTCCTGGTACTTCAACCATACGAATCCGTGACATTGTTGTAAACATTTGTGATACGTGTGCGCGGCGCGCGGCGTACAGCGATAACCACATCTTCAAAAGGAAACGCCCTCCATCCGTGAAGTTGTTGCAAACCTTTGAGCCTAATGTGCGCGGCGCTGGAGGAAGAGGAGGAACAGGCGGAGGAGGAGGAGGAGGAGGAGCAGGAGGAGGAAGAGGCGGAAGAGGGCGAAAAGATAGGCCATAGGCCTCCTGGATGCCCCTCGGAGTTGTTTCGGATGTCTCTCGAGAGGAGCTTGGGGTTCTCTTGGGGCGTCCAGGGGGCCTCCTGGCGGCCCTGGTCCATAGCCATTTTGGCTCAAGTCCGTAGTGTTTCGCTCAGGACTTGAGATTCTGGCGTGGGGGAAATGCGGCCCCCGACCGCTCTCGCGTCTCCCGAGTGGCCTGCCTGGGCCTGGAGGCGCTGCTGCATACCGTGTACTGTGCGCGGGCTTCCCGCCTGAGCACAGCACGATTTCTTTTTCACTCTCGAGTATGGAAGGCCCATGGCGCCCTCTCTTGCTTCTCAAGGAGGTGCGCCGCCCTCGGGTCACAAGCGGAGACGCCAAGCGTGGGCCAAACCATGGTATTGCAAGCACTGTTGGTCGCATCGGACTGGCGATAGGTGGTGGAACAGAGTGGATCTCGATCGCTGCTCGCTATGCAAGCAGCCCAAGGCGTCAGCATTTGCAGGGGCCAAACAGCCAGCCACTCCCCCGATGTCGGCGCTGAAGGCCCCAGCGCAGCCCGATCCCAAGCTCACTGCCGAGCTCAAGAGGTTGCGCGATGAAGTCGCACAGCTACGGAAGAAGGAGGTCGCAACAAAGCCCGACGGCGACACCATGGATGTCGACGAGGGCAAGGACAGCGACGCAGACTTACGCAAGGAACCCGGGGCAGCCACCGAGAAACTGCAGAACATTGCAGATGTGGAAGGCCCAGAATTCGATGAGTTGCGGGAAAAGTTGCGGGCGCGTCAGACCACCTTGCGAGGTCAGATCACTTGCGGCAAATCTCTGGACACGCGGCTCAAAGAGATGTTTTTTCAGCGCGCGAGGTTGGTCAAAAACGGGGGCGCCAGACCGAAGTGGTCGAGGAGCTCAAGCAGGTTGTGGCAGAAGCGCAGAAGGCTGTGGAGGACGCGGCCAAGGCGCGTCAATAACGGAGTTGGAGGCCGAGCGGTGCCAGTTGGTGGCTGGCGCGCCACGGGCCTTTGAGAAGCCCACTGGCGACGGCGCGCAGGGGCTCAAGCAGCTCCTTGCCAGCGACCTCGCAGTCGGGAAGTGTGGCGAGTTGCTCGAGGGCTTTGGTGGCAAGCCGGCTGTGGCGCAGAAGCTGTTCGAGTGCTTGGCTGAGGCGAAGGCGGCGGAGGGACTGCGAAGTGCCCGGCGGCGCCGCGCCGCCGAGGAGACGAGGCAGCGGCCGCAGCAGCAGCAGCAGCAGGAGGCCGAGCAGGCCGCTCGGGCTGCTGCAGCTGCGACGGCTGAGCACTGGCAGCGCTGGGAGCAAGCCATTCCGTCGGAGGCGGACGATCCAGAGGTGCTGCGAGAGATCCCCCGCTTGGTCGAGCAACAGGTGCCAGATGACGAAGGTGAATTGCGCGAGGCAGCCAAGGGGGCGGGTGCCATGTTGTCGTCGTTCGCGAAGCGGCACAAGGCGGCGTAGTTGGCAGTTGGCGGCGATGATTGGTATTTCTGTGTGCTTGTTCTCTTTTGTCGGCATCATGACGCGCATTGCTACTGTCAGCGCTGCGTCGTTCAACCCGTTTGCTGAGGTGTTCGAGGCCGGTGCTCCTGTGCTGGGAGATGAGCGGCCTATCATGTGCGTGCAGGAGCATCTCGTCACGGCTGCGAAGATGGGATCTTTTCAAGGGCGCGCGAGTGCGGTCGGCTACCACGGTGTGGGCCCCAGCCAAGGATACTGGCCTCGGGCGTGGCACAAGCGGTGGCGTGGCGGTGATTGCACCGAAGAAGGTACAGGTGACGGCTGGGCCGTTGCTGGCAGACACCAAAGGTGTGCTGATGGACGGGAGAACTGTTGCGGTGCTAGTGTACACTTGGTTCAAAGGAGGCTTCGTGGCAGTGTCAGCTTATCTGCGCGTCAGCGAAGAGATTGGGCAGAATAGTATGACATTGCTCACGATGTTGGCTCAGTTCCCCAATCAGAGCTTGCCTCTGTAGGGGTCCTAGCGGATTAAAGGGTTAGGTGAGGTGCGTCGCCGATTTCGGTGGCCGTGCCCGGGTGCCCAGGTGCCCGGCGGTGCCCTGGTGCCCGGGTGGCCGGTGAGGTGCGTGGCCGATTTCGGTGGCCGTGCCCGGGTGCCCGGGTGCCCGGGTGCCCAGGGGTGCCCGGGTGCCCGGTGGTGCCCAATAACCCAATTTTCCAGTAGCCCTATAGCCCTATAGCCGTATAGCTCTATAGCCCTGTAGCCCTATAGCCATGTATCCCTATAGCCCAAATGGCCTAAAACCTTCAAGGCCGTATAGCCCCATAGCCCATATAGCCCTATAGCCCCATGGCCCTATAGCCCTATGGCCCTATAGGTCACAGTCCTTTAGCCCTATAACCCTATTGCCCGATAGCCCTATAGCCCTATAGCCCTATAGCCCTATAGCCCGATAGCCCGATAGCCCTAGCCTGATATCCCGATAGCCCTATAGCCCGATAGCCCTATAGCCTGATAGCCCTATAGCCCATATAACCCTATAGCCCGCCCTATAGCCCGATTACAAAGGGAGCAATTGGAATATTTAGAAATATGATAGGTTTTTCTCCGGTATCGTATATGTTCAGAGTTCGAGCGCTTGGGTATGGGTGGGCTGTTGCAGCTGACTGCGACATGGACCGCGCTCTGATGCAGCCTTGGGCGACTTCTGTAGGAGGAGTTCTGGTGGCGCCGTCTGCGCCCACATCTATTCAGAGTGCACCAGGTACGACGATTGATTACTTCATCATGTCTGAGGGTCTCGCCATCCGTTCTGGATTGCTTGAAGTGGTGGGCGCTGCGACGATCTGGCCGCGTGGGCCTGTGCGGATGCAAGTTCACGCCGAAGACGCAGTCGTGTGGTGCCGAGTTGCCGATGAACTAAAGTCTCTTCCTGCGCTCGCCAAGCCAGGTTGTGGGCGGTTTCCACGTGATTGGAAGCACTTTCATGATGATATTCAACATGCCGCGACAGCTGATTAGTTGGCAGGATTCTGGGACTTAACGAGTCAGGGTATTGAGTCTGCGCTCTTGGGCCGACGCGATTTCGTTGGACCCCGTCGCCGCGGTGCGAAGGCAGTGCTGGAGAGCGCCAGGCTTGTTGGAAGAAGCTCCGCGCGGTCCCGCGGCCCCGGCGGCCTCGACCCTCGCGCGAGTATGCAGCGTGGAGCGCCGCGGCCAGGTGGGACAGGCATCTGCGTAGTGTGTGCATCGTGCTGGAGTCGTGCACTCCCAACCTTTGACGCGGACTTGGACGAGCAGCCGAGGAGGTTGAAGCGCGTTGCCAGGGTTCTGATCGACGCCGAGGCCTTCCTCGGCAGGAGCCAGAGGCTCGGCTGGGTGTTCGGCCACCTCGATGCGCTGACGGCAAGATTTCCCAGGTCTGGAGTGGATGTCATAGGTGATCCGTGTGCGCCCGATTTGATTGATCGATTTTTGTCCCTGGCCCAGGAGAAGGAGGCCGTGTTTTTGGCCAGCAAAGAGGAAGCCTGGCAGTCTTGGGTCAGGGAGGCGTTCTTGGACGGGGCCAAAGCTGCCCATCGTTTTACCAGGGTCCGTGGAGTCCAAGAGGTGATCACCGAGGAGCATCATATCCAACCTTTCGAGCTTGCCGACGGTGCGCGCCGCGAATGGTCCCATATTTGGGCTACTCATTCTTGCGACGACTTGGAGTTGCCAAGCGATTCGAAGGATTGGGCGGGCCTGCCGCCGCTCGGGGTCGACCATTTGAGGAGAGCGATTGCGCGATTTCCCCCGAGGACGGCGGTCGGCTGCTGTTAGATCCACCCTCGTGCGCTCCAGTGCCTTTCCGATGCGATGCTCGCCGCGCTTGCGTCGGTATTTTTGCAGTGTGAAAGGGCACTCGTCTGGCCAAGCAAGCGCTTGGTGATCGGGCTGGTCAGGCTGCCAAAACCCGACGGCGGCCACAGGCTTGTCGCTATTCTGGACGCGCTTCTGCGAGTCTGGGGGCGCATTCGGCGTTCTATTACTGAGAGTGGGAGGCGGGTAGTCGTACTCGGGAGCTTGGGGGGTCTGGGAAGGGTAGAAGTGCGTCGGACTCTGCGTTCGATTTGAACCTTTCGGCCGAGGTAGCCAGCGCCAGAGGCTGGCGCTCGGTAGCCCTCTTGCTAGACATGGTTACATGTTACGAACTGATAAAGCTCTCGGTCCTGTTTCAGATTTTTAGACAGGTCGGTTTCCCGCTCCGCCTTGTTTGGATGGTCATCCAGGCCTATACTGCCCCTCGGAGGATTGATGCCGTCGATATGCTTTCGGGGCCACCC